CCCCCCGCATCTAAGTGTCATATCTAGATCCCCCAGCAGCCTTCAGAAACATTTTAAATCCTTCTCCAGCTTCAGGCTGATCCTGGGGGCTGATTTGCATAATGGGAGAAAAAAAATTTAAACCAGCCCTGGAATATGAAAGTTTAACTTGGTTCTTTCTGTCAATTTCCTTCCTGTTTCTTTATGGAACGGAAGCACTGCATGGCCTCTTACGAAGCTGCTTGGAAGTGGTCGGGAAATCATTTGCCCTAAATATAAAGCAACATACCAAGATTGATTAGGTAGCCTTCTCTCCCCACTTATCCACTGCCACCTCCAGCCATTAAAAAAAAATGAGAGAAAGGGATTTTAGCAAGTCCCATTGTATTACCTGGCTTACTCCCGTGGAAAGTGTGGATAGGATTTGAAGCTGAAAGAGTGCATGTGTGCATGCAGAAATCAGCAGGGGACTGTGACAAACTCTTCAAGCTGACATTTCAGGGAAGTGGGTTATGGTGACATCTCCTTGCTCATGGTGGTACAAGAGGAAGGAGTCTAACATTAAATTAGAGAGCCAGCGGTCGGTAGGGAGAAATGGACGTTCAAAGATTTTTGCCAGTAAATGCCAAGACCCAACATTTGAGCAGAGCCTTAATCTTGTTGACAGGAAATGGAACTCGAAAGTAACTCGTGCTCTGCTCTGCAAACCCTCTGTGCTCCACTTAGATATGGTGGGAAACAGAAGGGAGAGTTGTTTGGTGTCACTCAAAGCTTTGCTTGGCTCATTGGAGAGGAAGGCTGGCATTTATTTATTTATTGCATGTCTCCTTGCATGTATGTTTGATCCATGTATTTTCTTGGCAGAGAGTCAGGATTTTGAAAAGGAAGTCTCCTTTGGCATTGAGTGAAAGAAACAGGAGGATGACTCATACAGTTGTGCTCTTGGCCAATTGATAGAATTCTCCTTGGAGCTCCCAGCAGGACCTTGGAAGTTGTATTTCTCCACATACACATACACCCCTTCCCTTGCTTTTTCCTTCTTCCCTGTGTCCACTTCTCTTTCTGTCTCTGATTTTTTTCCTCTTCAGTCGACACATTATAATTCTGAATGTATTGTTGCTGGAAATTCCCTAGGTCACGACAGCCTCAATGTTATGCGAGGCGCCTGCCAGTATGCTTGGAAATAACATTCTTTGCATGTCTCCCCTAGGCTGAGTTCTCACAGGCAGGAAATGGGTTGGCTTTGTGGATGCCCCTGAATATTTTGGCCAGTGGCCGCTGATAATTGGCCACTGTAATCACATGTTTCTTGAGTTGAGGGCCCCCAGTTGCGGTGTGCTTTGTTCCTCCTCCGTTTGGTGGAAATCTAGTTTACTCTGCAAAGATAACAAAATTGCCTCAGTTAATGAAATACTGGCAAACACAGAGGAGGCTAATTAAAATTGGGTGGGGGGGAGCAGTGTGATTTAAAGCTAATTCATTGAATGTCTCCTTTCTAGGAGATGGCAATTTAGTTAACATGTTGAGAGTAATGGCTGGAGAATGTAGGTCGGTTTGAACTCTTGCCTGGTTCTTGGGAATTGCACTGTTTACTGTAACAGTCATCAGATGAGGGTTGAATGGCGTGTGACTTGGAAGGTGCCTAGCAACCAGAAATAAACACGTCTTTTGTGGGTATGTGGCCTAGTTGAATTTGTTTATCGCTGCATGTTTGGATCTTTTTTAAAAAAAAAAAATCGATGCTTTTATTTTATAGACTTGCTTAGAGTTGGAGCGATATCTTCAGAGTGAACCATGTTACGTGTCTGCCTCTGAGATAAAATTTGACAGCCAAGAGGATCTGTGGACCAAAATTATTCTAGCGCGGGAGAAAAAGGAGGAATCTGAACAACAGAAAAATATCCCTGTTCCAAAGGAGGACAATGCAAGTAACCAGAACTTAGAGACTAACAGTTTGAATTCTGATATAAGCAGCGAATCTTCGGACAGCTCTGAGGAGCTTTCACCTACGACAAAGTTTACCTCTGATCCCATAAGCGATGTCTTAGGCTTGGCCAATACAGGAAACTTGAGTTCGTCTGTCACTTCTACTCCTCCTTCTTCCCCTGAGTTGGGCAAGGAGTCATCTTCTCAACTGTGGAATTGTGCGCCAGGTGAATTACATTCGCCAGGCAAAATTCGTACTGGTTCTAGTGGAAAGACTGCAGAAAAGGGTTCCCCGGTCAATGGTGATGCCTCTCCGGATGGAAGGAGGCGGGTCCACCGGTGTCAATTCAATGGGTGCAGGAAGGTTTACACCAAAAGTTCACATCTGAAAGCACATCAGCGTACCCATACAGGTGAGTAACTTTGCAATCTGCTGGAACGGAACAACATGACTTATCTCAAGATCCCCAGTTATTCATCTCTAAGGAAAAAAAATAACATCTAAATATGAAATTAAGATGGTGTCTACTCTCTTTACATATGTGTACCTCGTCCCACTTGGCCGAAAGGGGACTGGGCATGATTTGAAAGCATATACCATGGTATTCATGGTGCAACTAAGGAGGTTTGTGTCTGGTTGGTCTGGTTGGTCGAAAGCATATACCATGGTATTCATGGTGCAGCTAAGGAGGTTTGCATCTAGTAAGTGTCTGGTTGGTAGATGGCCAAGGAACCCAATATATAGTTCCATCACAGGCATTTGATGACTTCCAACCTGGAAGAAGGGCTAGTTGTGAATGTGCTAAAGGAGCACCCTTTGCTTCCTGTGCTTTATCACCTTGACAGATAGCTTTGTTTTACTACAGCCTCTGTCATTTCTGTAGCTTGGACCCCAACATGTGATAAGTTGGTGGTAGCGCCCCCTTCCACCTGCAGTCTCCTGGACTTATATTCCAGTTGTTCCCACGTTATTCTGCAGTATCATCCCTTATCTTGTTATCTCTGTCTTCACTATTCATAGTCAGCAGAAGGGCATTAGTAATAATAATTCTTCAACATAGAGCTTCAGCAAAAGCACTAGCCCCTTATTTTAGATTGCTTTTTAGAAGTAGCTAGGTATACAGCTGCACTTCTTTTTCTTGGTGACAAATGTATGGAAAGGCCTTGATGCTGGTAGTGTCATAATGTTGCACAATTCTGGAGCAAGAGCCCGGAGCTATCCGATGCTGCAATAAGAGTTGGAGGCTTCCCAGAATGCAAAGCATTACTTCCTCATTCCTTTCCATAAACTGGTTGCAAACATCTATGTGCAAACCTTAGAAGAAGCTATTTCATTATCCAACGTGTGCTTTATTGGTTCCTCTTTTTTTAAAAAAAATTAGTATATGCTTGAGAAAATGCATCATTGTTTTAAGCTTTTAACAAAGGGAAAAAACAATCCCTTAGATGAAAACTGGAGGACAGAAATGAAACCTGACAACAAAAAAGGAAACTGCTCAGAAACAGGGGATTTTTATTTCAGTTCCTTAACGATTCAGCAATGGATCTCTTAAACACTAGAATAATATTGGCTGTGCTTCAGGGTAGCTTTGTATGCCTAAAGAGCAATGAAAGAATCTTTTGAGAAATACAAAATCAATGGGATGAGAGTAGATTTTCATTCTTTTGTGATTTTGCTCACATCAAACATCTTGGCCAGTATCCTGTTATCGAAATCCAGAGTGGAAGGCAATTGCGTAAATTCCAGAAGGCTCCCTGCCATGCTTCCATTTTCACACTGACTGTGAGAGTGATCGCACAACTGGTCACAAAACTGGAAGCGAACTAGAATTCGGAGTTGGAGGACCTTTACCTGATAGTCCTTCCGCTTCACATTTAGGCAGTAAGATACGGGCCATAGTATTTTACAGCCATGGATGTTTCATTTCACAAGAAAGCCCAACTCCCTTGCTGAGCCTGAAAATATGCGAGGCAGACATGAGCACTCCAAGGTGGTTTAAATTTTTCATAGTGAAAGTGGCTGGCGTGGTTGCTTTTCAGCATGAATATTCTACAGCACTTGATGGCTGGTTTAGATCTGCAGAGCAGGCATCTTGAAATAAGCAGCTAAAAGTCTGCTCCTTAAAGATGCTCCTTTTGAAAGGAGAAGAATGGAAAATCAAGATTCTTTGCTATGATTTCCCCAACTCAGCATTTGAATAAATTGAGGAAGAAGACGGCACTGTTACATGCCTGTGTTTTTTTCCCTGTGGAAATGAAACTTTGTCCATTTCTTTATTTATTTTTTTAATTCTCCCTGAAAAGAGGAAGCATAATGTCAAAGCTATAACATCTCACTCAGAATCTCTTGCTAGCAATGCATTTTTGTCTGAATTGCTGACTTGCCTCTTTCAGTGCTAATGGTAAAATCAGTGCACCACTAAAGGTGGCTTCATTCTCTATCCTGCCACCTCCAATTACTTCTCCATGTTTACGCCCATGGTTGCCTGGAAAACGAAGCTTTGTTTATTGCTCTTTTTTTAAAAAAAAAAAATTAAAACAATGATATGTATTAAAACTGTCCAAGATCATTATCATCTTATCTCAGTTTAGGGCCAGATCCTGTTAAGCTGGCTAAACTTTGAAAGAGAGAAATTAGTGGAATGCAACCTCGGGGAAATCTAACATATCTCATTTTCCCCATATATAACTCTCAGCAGTTACATGTGTGTGTAAATTATTAATCTAGTAAGGCCATGACACCTACCAACCTACAGGAATATATGTTGTTCCCTATCCTTTGTCAGTACACTATGATGTCAGTAGCATGCGGCCTGAGAGAAACAGAAGATCAACTTTAGATGAAACTTTAATCACTCATTCGTCTGGGGCCCCTTTTTACTAACCCTAAACAAGCAACTAAATGATTTTTACAAAGCTGTATTCCCTACAGTTACTAGAATTCTTAACCGCCAGGTACTTCAGACAGTTTGTACTCTTGGCATCTTTCAGTCAAGTCTTGGTGTTTTGCTGGTGCAGCAAACCCATCAGCTTAGAAACATCTGAATTCCCCGTCAGCATTCTCGGAAGTACTTAGCAGGCTGTTATAAATGAAAGTGGGCAGCTTTATTTCCTATGTAAAAACACAAATAAATCAATATTCATCTTCAGCTGGAGATGGATACAAATGGCGAGTAACTGTGTTCTCTTTTGCAGGAGAAAAGCCTTACCGATGCTCATGGGAAGGGTGTGAGTGGCGTTTTGCAAGGAGCGATGAGTTAACCAGACACTTCAGAAAGCACACAGGTGCCAAGCCTTTTAAATGTAATCACTGTGACAGGTACGTGAACGGAAACTCCCTTTTAATAACCTTTCCTAACTTTTTTTTCCTCTCCAGTGCTTCCATAGGAAGTAGTGAGTTGAGAATTTCAGTCATAAAGACACTGGTAGGCAGCCCATTTTGATTAGCATACATTGGAGCATTTCTTAAACAGAAGAAGCATCCGTCTGTAGTGATCAGCTGCAGCATAGTTTGTTTGTCGGCAAATCAATAAGTAATATTGATTGATCAGGGGAATCATTTCTATCTCTGATTGGAGAAAATCAGTTCTTACAGTTCCCCCCCGCCACATATTCCTGAATGCCCTAGTTGAAATCCAACAAACGTAATCCCAGAGTTAAGTGGATTGAAGAAAGCTTTTAAATAGCTTCTGCATTTAGATAGCTTCGGTGTGGATTCGGGCTGAGTAAGAGATCAGCTTCCTAACTGCAAGATCAGGAGAATGGTGGAACAAGGAGAAGCCTGTACAACCTATTTTAGTGGTTATTCTGAAGGGAAGGTTTGGTTAGCTCTCTAGGTTATAGCTCCAAAAATATTCTGCATATAAGGAGTTCGGTTTGATGACTTCAAAGGGCTCTTGTGATTCTTTTAGGAATTGTGTAAGTTCCCTTCTTCCCGTTCTCGCCTTCAGTTAAAACATCAAGACCATTTTTCCTTCCTTCAAGGACTAGTGTGTCCATTAAGTGAGCCTTTCCCCCCCCCAATAGTATGCTTTCTTCATTTAACTGGAGATTAAATTGATTCTCACCAATGTTTTCCCATGATGAGGTGTTGAGAGTGGATCAGAAAAGGTGCCAGCATACTGGCAAGTGCATTTACAGTTATAAATGGGGCACAAAACTGTTTTGATGGTCTCTAAGGATGACACTTCTTCAGCCTGACCTACCTCATGAGGCTGTTGTGATGCAAACAAGCTATTACAACCTCTTTAGAACGAGAGTTGGATGTAAATGTAAATGCACTTGACTGTGATGTAACCATTTGCAACCTGGCCTTCATGGTGAAGTGATCGTTCCACCATTTTGCTCATTAGTTTGGCAGTATTTTTCTGCATTCACTCATTATAACATGAGTCACTTCCACACAGTGCTTCTGTCTGCAAACTAAGCTTTCTACATGTCTGCAGAGCACCGGATAGGATTTTCCTTGGCAAAATTTGTTCATTAGAAAGATGGTGATGGCACCTTGCCTGTGAAACAAGTCTCAGTGGGTTGGAAAAAGGGCTTTGTACATAGGATTTTCCTTGGCAAAATTTGTTCATCTTGCCTGTGAAACAGGCTGAGAATCAGTGGGTTGGAAAAAGGACTTTGTATACAGATCTCCCTTTGATGTGCATTTCCTGAGTTAAATCCCATGCCTTTCCTTATGGATCACACTGCAATGTGAAGGTGTGATAGCCTTCACATATTCTACCTATTGTTTTCAGTGCCAGTGGCAACTTTTAACTCAATGCTCTCCCATCTGAAATGTGACGTTTCACTTTGCATTCCCCTCTTGTTCACCGACAGGTGTTTCTCCAGATCTGATCACTTGGCCCTTCACATGAAGAGGCATCTCTGAATGGGTTGAAGAGGTTAAATCCTGCGGGCCAAGAGGCTTCAAGGCCAACCAGCCTTGAAAGAAGGGATGCGTGTTCCAGCCAAAGCATGCCACTTTGCACCCTAACCCAGTAGCCTCCAGGGCCTCTCTTCCTTGGAAGGTCTCCAGAGGGCTAAACAAGTCATGTAAGAAAACGGCATTGCGACCGCATGGTGTGGGTCTCCTGCGCTGGTACCCAACCTTCTGAGTGGCTTCGACGCCTTCCGCCGTGAGCACGTGCACTGAGAATGTTAAATGACTGGACGACTGTATGTTACTGAGGATCTACTGGGCGACTGTATGCTGAGGCACATTTTTTTCCCGTTTGTTTGTTTTTGTTCCTTGTGGTTGTTTTTTATGACCGTAAGAGAGAGAGAGAAAGAGAGAGAGAGGAGGGGAAAAAAAAGGTTGACTGAATGGGGGAATTTTTTGCATACATGCGGAGTCTATTGCAAGTTGGAGTGATCACTAATCATGTCCACGGGGCTGGGGAAAAGAGGTGTCTGCACCTTTTTTTAAAAAAAGAAGGGGAGGGAGGGGAGGAAAAGTAAAGACACCAGAGTTGAGGGAGGGCCCCCCCCATCCTGAATGAAAGGAGCTTTCGGTGTCTGGTCCAGCTATTAAATGTGCAATGTGTCAAGTAGCTTGTTTTACTTGCTACAGAGCTCATTTGTAATCCATTGTATAAGCTGTGTATTTACAATATAACACAACCTGTAACTTTTTCATTATAATACAGAGGTTATTGCATGGTTCTGGGGAACTCTATGCTTTTCCATTCTTTAATCAGGACTGCAGGCAATTTTGTTTTCCCTCTCTCAATTCCAGTTAAAAGCTGCTACCATGCAATTGGTTTAATGTTACATAACATACAAAACCGGAATCGCTTTTTTTTTGTTGGTTTGTTTTAATTTTTTCCAGGTTTTTTTTTTGTGCGTGTGTGTGTGTGTCCTGTTGGATGGATAAAACCACTGTAGGTTAGAAACCGATTTTTTAAAAAAAAAATCTGATGCAGCTATTCTTTCCCTTCCTCTTTTATTTATGCCTTGAGGTCTAATTTCTGGTTTTTTAGCTGTTAATGCACTGTTGACCTTAATAATGGTGCCTTATGCAAAGCGACCTTTTCTTGCAGGAGGTCTTATACAGGGGTATGGGTGATGTATGCTTCATTAAGGCTCTCTTGTCACCTGACACTTGTACTGTATCAAATGTATATTATAAAGAGGTGGGAAGAACCTAGATTGCCATTCAAGATTGCCATACATGGAGACATTCTTAAACATGTCACTAGTAATTCCATAGAATAATCTGGCTAGTTCTGCTAAATTAAGAATCAGTGGTTTTTTGGTTTGTTTCCTCTTGCAAAACCTATCCCCTTTCTTCCCTTCCCTGCAGATAAAACCCTCTACTTCAAAATGTTATATTTTGCTCATGCATATTTAGACATGCATGAGAATTACACATGCCACACAAGTAATGGCTGAAAAGGCACAAGTTCCACATCTATATAATCTAGCTTTCTCTGGGTTAAAACAGAAAGAAAATAACAATACTTTTCTTCATGTAAAAAAAAGCAAAAAAAAAAAGTTACCAAGTGGGCAGAAAGTTTCTGTTGTATGTATATTTGTGTGTACAGTATCCGTAGCTGTATGTATGCGT